AAAATTGTACTAGCTATAACCAATATACTAATAAAGACTTGAGGGCATGACCTCACCTTAAAAAAAAAAAAAAAAAACATTAGTACTAATCAATATATAATGAATATTAGTTAAATTCAAGTTAATAATAATAATCAAACTATTAACTTTTTTGTTAAAATTTAATTTTAGTTCTTATTATACAAAGTTGAGTTCTTTTTAATTATTACTATAATTTTAACAATTTATTAAAATTCAATAGTTAATATTTTTATTAATTCTTAATTAGTAATTTCTAAATTTAATAATCTTTAACTTAATTTAATCTATTTTAATAAGCTATTCAAATTCAATTTGTAACCTATTTGGTATATCCTTTTAAAATATTATTAAATTATACAAATTATAAATTATCTTTCACAAAATGCAAACTTATTTAAATAATAGATTATCTTTTACAAAATGCAAACTTATTTAAATAATAAATTATCTTTCACAAAATACAAACTTATTTAAATAATAATTTTAATAAGTAGGATATGGCGACCTAGTAAAATGATTAGGTTGTCAACCCTCTAAGTGGTAGGTTAGGTGTTTAAATTCTATCGATGGTGAAAAAATTTAGATAATCACCTATGTAATATTTATATTATGACAACTATTACTAATGGTTGGGTTAGGATACCTGTAATGGCAGTCACACCAGCATGACTGACAGGTCATAAAGCATCTGTGCAATGTTGGAGTTATATAGAGAAATGCAAACTGACATATTAGGTAGTGCAAACACTAGATAAGTCCTTGTGGCTATGTAAATTCATTAAAATTGGATAACAAGAAATTTATTTGAGAAGACCTAAGTAGAGAGATAGCTGGATCTTTGATGGCCCTACTGTAAAAGCTAGCCTGATGAAACAGATATCTAGGTTTAGTATCTAGTCCTAGTAGCCAGATGGGCAAGAACCTCTGGATTAGGAGTCTCGAAGGTACTACCAATCAGGCTATTGAAACGAACTAAAGAAAAAAGATATCAGACTAATCTGATATACTGATGGACTGGTCATAGTCCTACAAGAGCTATCTGAATTGGGAGTCTCGAAGGTACTACTAACTAGGCTACTAGAACAAATCAAAGAAAAAGGATATCAAACTAACCTAATATACTGATAGACTAGTTATAGTCCTACAAGGACTATCTGAATTGGGAATTTGGTAAAAGGGCAGGGTAAAAGACAAAGGTATACTAAAGTATTGGAGTTATGCTGTGAAGTAGATGCTGGGGTCTAAGTGAACTCTACAAGGGCATAGCAGTTTAATGATTAGCCCTGACTACAAGTGTTGGTTCTGCCATAGCAATACCTAGATCAGCTGTAAAAATAAGTACAGAAGGCTCTAGGGGGTTTACCTTGAGAATAAATTAGTCCTAAGGTTGAGATGATGATCTGGGTATCTGGATATGACCTAGTGATGTTAACACAGATTACAGGTTCAGAAGGCTTAAAGTGGAACACCCAAGCAGAAGTATTAGATACAAAAATTGGTGAAGAACCTTCAGGTGGACTCCTTAAATAGGTAATATAGAAAAGTTATATATGTAGCCAATTGTACACTTTTCTGTAGTAGTTTATTAAACCACAATACCAATAAGTAATTAATAAAAGTCAAAAGACCAAGAGGTCATTTTAACATCAAAAAAAAAAAAAATTTTTAATAAACAAACAGATTCTCTTATAAAATAATATACATTATTATTATTTTTCTTATTTAATTATATAAATCTTTATAATTTTTATTATATTCTTTAATAAGAACAATATTATATAGAATTTTCTATAAGATATTTTATTAAACAAATATATAAAACTCATATTTTAGTTATATATATATATATATTTCTTTTTTTTCAGTATTAAGGTGACTTCTTTGGTCTGAGCTTTTTATTAATACTTATATTGGGTACATGTTTTTATATAGACATATCTATAATAAACTATTAGACAAGTGTACAACTGGTTACATGTATAACTTTTCTATATTACCTATTTAAGGAGTCTGCCCGAGGGTTCCCTACCAGTTGCCATACCTAACACTCTTGCTTAGATGTTCTATTTAAACCCTTTGATCTAATCCTGATATTAATTTCACTAGGTCACAGACTCAGATTTATTTGCTATTAACTATAGAACTATAATCCTTAGACTATTTTTATTCTCGAGGTAAATCTATCAGAGTGAGCCATATTCCTTTTTACTACTAACCTGGTTTAACACTATGGTCATGACCAACACTTGCAGTTAGGGTTACCTCTTTGACTGCTATTACCCTTGTAAAGTTCATCTAAACTCTAATATCTATTTTTCTGATTTCTTCTCTATCATCCTCTACTAGTTGCAACTTGAAACCAACAACAGACTTCCTCAGACTTCCAATCCAGATGGTCCAGTATGATATACTTATATATTCTTTTTCTTTGCTGATTCTGGCAGCTTGGTTGGTCATATGCTTCTCTATATATCTTTGTTATTCAGTTTATCTGACAGTTTCTATGAAGATGTTTCATGAGCTTTTATCAGTCCAATGGCATCATCAAAAGTTTGTGCTATTTCTTTATTCAGAATTTCCAAGTGAGTTTCTGTTTCTTTAGTTTCTTAGCCTTCTACACCCAGTGGTCTTATCATGAGTTTGCCTGAAGCCTTATATGACACCAGTTTTACATTTCTCTATATACATGTACTGTGTAATATTACACTTTGCATAGATGCCCCAAGCTTCCAATATCAAATAGGACCTGACTTGGTGTACCTAAGATTACAGATGCCCAAAACTCAACTGATCAGCAAGAGACAGTTACCATAACACAGGTATAATTTTCAAAATTCATTGTCTGTAGAAATTGAACCTTAAACCTGTCACTTGAGAGTTGACAACTTATCCACTTTACTAGATCACTACATTCCATATTTTAGTTAAATAAATATATAAAACTCATATTTTAGTTATATAAATATTACAAAAACATAACAGTAAGTAATTATATTTTAATTAAATATTAACTAGAAATCTACTTAACTTTATTTTAATTATAACCAAAAACCTTTACATATTACTAATTTTAGACTTAACTAAAATTTTTAAAATCAAAATTCTTTTCAATAAGTTACCAACATATCAATTATTTTATATTATTTATTCAAACTAATACTTAGATACTACTTGTTTTTATTGCAACTTAGCTAACTCTCATTCTCACTGATGTATATGCACTAATATATTCTTGCTTAACTAAATTATTCAAACTTTTACTAATCAAATTATTTTTATTAACTTATTTAATTTTGATATTTATCAAAAATATAATCTAATTAATTCTTAATTCTTTATATATTCTATCTAACATATTTTATTTTAATCTTATTTTTAAAAAACTTATCTCAAAGTCATTTATATCAACAATTTAAAACTTTAACATATTTTATAAAACTATTTCTTAAGTTATTATTAACATTCTTCTTAATATTAATAAACAATCATATAAACAATTATAAAAAACATATTGTATTTATTTTCTAATTAAAAAAAAAACAACAAAATAGATCTTAGTCTCAACTAATTAATAAACCTTTAATATTATTTAATTCAGTTACTAAGTATATATATTTCTAAAGAAACTATACTTATTCATGTTTTTGCAAATTTTCAAATCAATTATATACTCATTTTAATATATATACAAAATTAACATTTGATTTATTTTGTATAATATACTATTAAATTATATACTAAATATTTAAATCTAAGTGAACTTTGATCACTCTAATAAGTTTAGATTATAGATAAGTTAGTCTGAACTTTTATTCTTACATGTAATTTTCAATTTATTTATTTTGTACAAATAGTAATAACTGTATAGTTAACAATTTAATGATTAACTCTAACTGCAAATGTTAATTTTAGTCATAGCATATATACATGTAACTATTTTAAATTACTAATAAAGATATAAACAAGGCTTCACCTTAATAACTTTATGATGATAATCATCCTGGAAACTAAGGTTTTAATAATAGACTTTTTGATGAGTGGCAATATAGACTTTTTGATGAGCGACAACAAAGTTACATAGACTTTTTGATGAGTGACAACAAAGTTACAAAGACTTTATATAAAAATTATAATAAAAGTAATCACAATGTAGTATTCATTTGCCTAATGCACTTTGTAAACTTTCAAGAACTTCGACTTCAACCTTTGCGATATTCCTTTCTTCTTCTGAAGGTCCGGATGTCACAGTTCGCTGTGCTTCCGCTAAATTTGCTCTAATTGCCTTTTTATAAATTTGATAAATAAATAAATAAATAAATAAATATATATATATATATATCGAAATTATGTAAAAAGATAAACTATGAATTAGAATTTTTAAATACCTCAGGTGAAAATTCTTCCAGTGGAAAGGCTTCTACGGCATTAATGTCAAGCGAGGAATTGGGGTTGATTATAGCAAATCCACCACTAACTAAATACATATAATCATTTGTTCTATAATATTAAAGATATCTACAATTCTATCCATAACGAATATTCTATATTTTCACTTCTAACGAATATTCTTTTTATTTGATGTGACAAACAATCAAGTATGAATTAACTTAGTTCATTAATGTACTCACCAAAAAATTTTTTCGTAGTATTTGCATTTTCAATTACTTCAATGACCCCTGGTTTCAATTGTTCAATTGAAGGTACATGACTGGCTAAAATACCCATATCACCAGATGTCGCTGCAATATTAACTTGTTGAACTTCCACATTTTTATAAATGGCCTAAAAATAAAATAAAATAAAATAAAAATCTGTTAGCATCTTTTCCGATTTTTATAAATTCAATTAATGATCAAAATTCTATGTTATAAAGCAAGTTTATAAATAAAATAATATATCGATATCTATTTATCATATATTTTATTCAGAATTACCTGATGGGGAAGTACGAAGCTTAAACGCAACCCAGACGTGCTACTAGTTGTCTCGGTGGCATACCAACGAGCTGCAAATACAAATTCGCAGTTGCGAAAATGCTAAAAGGTTGGCGAATGCTTTATAACAAACACTTTGATAAAAGCTAAAATTAAATGGTGCAATAAACGCAATAAAGTTACCTGGAGTGCGAGCTTTTATAATGAGGGCAGTTCTGACAGCTTTAGTAAAAAAACTCATAATAACGACTTTGGTAAAAAATTTTTTTAAAAAAATTATATAAATGGTGATCTTAACATCTTGTATCACCAAAAATTTTATCATCACTTGCAAGTGTTAACGCAAAAACCTTTATTTATAGTTAAATTGGTAGTCAATCAAAATTACATTACAAAATAATAAATATTATGCCAATATACTCGAAAAGGTTTTATTTAGATGCTAATGGCCTAGAATTGATAAATTTCAATAATGCAACGCTATACGCAAAAAATGCTTCTTTATACATAAATAAGAACGCTGCTGTCAAAACAGATTGAAGTAATTTATATGTAATTCCTTTGTAAAGACCATTAACGCCTTCATTTTGAATAATTTTTCGTAAACCATCCATCACTGAATTATATCGACTACTTTCTTTTGAAGATTGGCGAAGTTGCATACGTGATTTAATAACACTACAAACCAAAGATTATTTCAATAAGAATAATTATTAATGTTAATAAATAATCGAAAAAAAAATAGGGCAACAACTTACATGTAAGGATAAGTTAATGTGGTGGCAATGAGTTTGCTAACAGCACCTAATAAAAAAAAATCAAGGCTTCCTAATTTCTTGATTTTCTCTAATTGTACTTTTAATTGTTCATACGCGGTGTATTGAATAATTGGGTTGATAACTAAAATCAAAGCAGGCTTAACACCTTGCCAGAAGGCCATAATTCCATCTTCTTCAATAATTTTCAAAACTGTTGAAATAGTACCCAATCTTTTTGCTTTCATCTGTTTTACCTGTTTTACACTTGATTCGCTTTTAATGCTTTCATCTAACGAATCTTTACGTGTCGTCATACGAGTCTAAACATTATAAAATATCAACAACATTAGTGGGACTGACATAGTACAGTACAGTATATGATATATTAAAAATAGACTCATACATTAACGACCCATATAGGATTTGTGATTATGGCAGTTAAAGCACCGGCTATAGCGCCTGAGAGCATAGATTCTTTGATTGATATAGGACGTTTTGGACTTGCCGACTTTTCAAATGCTGCCTTGGTCCACTCGTAAAAATAATAATAAACACCTATAATAAGAATTAAGTTTAAGTTTTGAGATACTAATATTAATAAATAATTAATTAAATAATTAATTAAATAATTAAATAATTAATTAATTTTATATAAATTTCTCTTAACAAACCATTCGTAAGAGCAATACCAAATATGGCAGAATTCACCCCGCTGATACAAATGTAAAAAGTTATCATTAAGATAATTTAGGTAACAAATCCAAACCTTAGTAATATGCTTAAATTCTTACGAGTATAACCCACTAATACCTTCAATTCTTATAATTTTCATAATTGCATCCCTTCCACCCTATAAGTTTTTAACAGATCATACATTCTACACATTTTCACTTTTAACAAATTAAACCAGAAGTTTGAGCTTACTTTATAAGCTTCTACTGCCTTATTATCTTTTTGAACTTGGAGCCTAGAACTAACTGTTATTAAAGGATATGTCAAGGCCATAGAAATGATGCCGCCAGCTGCGCCTATATTAATAAAAGGAACAAGTTAATTCTTTTAATGAGTGAAAAACCTCTTGAATTCCCTATTCTTAATCTCAATTCTTACCGCTAAGCGCATGAGCTACGTTATCAGACATAACTATTAACTCTTTCTCGGGTGGAATAAAATGAAAAAAAATTTGTCAGGACTGCTAAAAATACTTTATCGTTATCGATATTCGGTCAGGTTCCCTTGATTGTTGTAATTACGATAAATAGTTGTACCAAGGTGATCAAGATAAGATCTAAAATATTATTGGTTGATGAGATCAAACACATCTAAAAGATTCTTCTTTCACGTTCACATTTTTCAAGTGTAACCAACACAGACTGACCAGTTCCGTTTAAACAGTTTTTTATATAACGATAATTATCGTTATACTTTTTTTAATGTTTTAAATTTTTTAAGCTGAAGCTAAACTATGCTTCTGATTGTCAACAAAAAATGTGTTTGTCGTACGTTGGGAATGGAATTTAGAATGCACATAGGTTGATTCCAAATAAAAATAAACATAGGTTATAATAGAAGTCTAAAATGTGACCGAGTCATTAAAGAATTCAACTTACAATAAAATAAAGTGTATTCCAAATTATTTCATTGAGTACTTTGATTTTAAAATAGGTTTATTCATTATCGTTAGTTAAATTTAAAAGCATTACAATAAGTTTTTACATCTATGATTAGCGGTTTGTTTACACTGATTGTCACACACGTTTTTGCATTTGTATTTAATATTATCTACTTGTGAAGAAGATTGCAAGAAAAAAAAATTCGTGAAAGAAAATTTTTATGTTTTCTTAAGAACCCATCATTGCACTTTTATACCGAATTATTGTAATTTTTGATTTCGTTATACTCGGAGTATCAACTGTACTATCTAATTCTGGAAACTTATTGTAACTCATAAATCACGGAATTCCGTTCCAACCTAGATTATAAATCTATAATAATTCCGTTCAGACGTGCGACATTTGAGTGCGCCCTGTCATCGAACATTTAATTATATTCCGTGTACAGTTAGCTGTAAGCTGTACACGAAATATAATTGAATGTCCGATGACAGGTTTCCCTTGGGCGCACTCATTTATAACAAACATCAATTTTAATGAAATTAATGTAGCAAAGTTAATATGAAATTTAAAAGTAACCTACACTGGCGATCATAAATAATGCAACAAAAAAAAAAAATTTAGTCGGATGGTATTATCTCACGCAATTCCGGGCGTATTTCTTAAATTTTTTTTTTATTTTACTCGCAAATAGCAATATTATCATTA